GTGGAAAACTGCACGGGGTTGTGAGAATGTGCTGTACACACCTGTAGAAGAGCAACGGGCATAAGAAAAAGGTTGAGTAGGGCTGAGAAAAATGACTTCATCACCTTTGACTTTAGGATCTCTATCCAGATAATAGCACATGTAATCTTGTAAAATTTTAATTTAGTTCAAATAAAACAGGCTATTGAGTCATGATTCTGAGCAATATTGTCCTGGGTGTTATTACAAATATTACAAATACATTTTCCAATTGCAGTTTCAGTATTGGCCCTAAGAGATGCATTATTGAAATGGCCTTTTGTATTCTAGAGAATTTTGTTTTATTTTAATTTCATGAGGTAGCAACTACGCAGCGTCAGATTCTCTATCCCAAAGTTTTACCATACAGTCATACTCTCAGAATTGCATGTTATTATCATTATTATTATTATTACACTTGATATTTTAATGCAAACAAAATCGTAGTGTCCAAATGCATGACTACGCTATTCCCTGTGCCGTGACGTGAAAGTTGACATGCAAATCATCAAACACTCTGAAAATATTTGTATTATGTTTAAGTCTTATGAACCTGGCTAATTAAGGATTTATTCCCATCAGCCAACCCTCCTCTAGGGAGTAATTTATGGATTACTGCATGATCATAAGCTCTCTGGGGGGAAATGGACCTCTTAATGTAGACAGCGTTTTATATTTGCTTTCCTAATTGTATAGTGTTTGGACTAAAACACACAATCCAACCAGATTAGGCAAAGAAAAAAAAAGAAAGATGTGATTTATTTTAACATAGCCTACCATTCTGGTTAAAGGAGGAGCAGAAATATGGTAAATACACCAAAACAAGTGAAGGAGCCTTCCATCAAATTTAGCTGTCGGCGAAAGTATTAGGAGTGATGGTTGGCAGAAGGTTCAAGAAGCAGCCTTGTGACCAAAAGGTTGCAAATTGGAATCCTTAATCCCCCGTCGCTCCACTGGAGCTGCTCAGCAGAGGCAGCACCATGACAAGACTGTAGTTAATGCCCCTGGGTCCTCCCAAGTTCCTATACCTGCCTCTCTGCTATACTGCCTGTAGTTCCTCTGTGACTTAATAATAATAATAATAATAATGATAAATAATAACACTAATAATACTACTAATAATGATAAATTCAGAGAATAGTAATATAACATCTACATGGATTGAAGTCAAAGAGAGATCCACAGTTAAGTTGGAGTAAGAGTCAGTATTTTAAACAGCAGAATATTTCACCACTTTGCACCATCTCCTTCCCTGAGGAGTTCGGCTGAGAAAAGGTTCTGTGATAATTTGTAAAATTAGACATAACAGGGTCACATAGTCACATGATCAGTTCATACAAACTTTGTCCTGTTATTTTACCTACTGGGGCGGCAGCCTCAAGGTTAGACTCTGCGTGTTAATGTTTGCATAATGTGACAATCTCTGAAAAAAATAACTATTTGACATAAAAAGTCTGCTCGACTTCACTGCTGATGAAAAACATTAGGCTGTCAGCACTGAAGAGAGAGCCTGCCATCTGATGGACAATGGAGAGCTTGCAGGCTGTTATTCTTCACTCAGACAAAAAACAACTATATACTATACTGGCTTTTTTATTTGCTATTATTATCAATATTACTATCGTTCTTTATGTCTTGTCTATTTTGCATTATTTTTATTGGGCTGTGTAAATCTCGTTTCTAACTACTTTCCATTGTAGCTAATGATGGACCAGTTGTGACTCTGTACTCTGCTATATATTGTCCATTAAGAGGAGATTAGAGTCATTCTGTTCCATCATATATTTTCCCCCCAGTGAGTAACACACACAGACACACACGCAGTCTGACAGGACCCATATGTTGATATTACAAGTGAGGTCAAAACCACTGCGCCATCTCTGCACCTCTGTAGTGTTAATTATTACAAATATTACACTGGTGTGTAATCAGGTCCACAGGAGGAGGTGTCTCTGTGTTATCTGCTGGGGCGATCTTTGCTGTGGATTGTGTTCCTGTGTTCCTGTGTTGTCCGAACCTATTTTTGGATCATTGCCACTCCTCTGTCGTGGGATTGAACCAAACAGCCTCCGCAACAACAAAGGCAACGGTATTGACAAGCAGAGTAAATAATGCAGCTCACAGTTTAACCCCAGCTGAGGACAAAACTGACAGGAAGGCATTTATTCAGAAGAAACATCGCTTTCATCCCTGCTCACCCTCGATTTATTTATTTTTTAATAGGGGGAGAAGGAACTGCAGTCGAGCGCAAGTTACCGGCTTAAGAGAAAATTCATCTTTGAGAACAGACCACTACCAGTATGATAAACATGAGTCAGCACTGCTTTGATAATGACATCAAGTATAAATCTCATACAGATCCTGGAGCAGCTTTCAGTGATGGAAGCAGGAAGAGAAATAGTGACTGTGGGTCTGTGAGACAGACAGGACACAGATACTGTTTAAATATCTAACACTCAGCTAAAATGTAGATGTTTTGCTTGTGCTTTATTGTTCTATCACCTGTCTCCACATGTTTTTTAGGCAACAAGCCATAGGCAGTCGACTCAGTACTGTCACCCCTGTCGTCGCCAACGCTGGACCTGCCCATGACTTTATAGTCTACTCAGCACTTCTACTTTCTGTCGAACTGAAGCCCATCCTGTCAGCACCTACTCTAAGTGTGATACTGCACTTCCTGCCCAATTTACCAGCAGCCCATACATCATTTCATGACATACAGACAAAAGCTATCTTCAAATCAGTGTCTCTAAAGGGACATTCTGTCCAGCGCCACACCTTAAAAAAAAAAAAAAAAAAATCTTCAGGTTTTTCTCTGCTGTTCAACCACAGCAGAGTGAATATATCCTATAGGAATCACATAGGCACTACAAACCATAGCCGAGGTATTCCCAATATGCAGAGTATATCACTTGTGCCTGAGGTAGTCATGCAAAAAAACACTCAAAATGAAGCCTTATTAATTTAAAAGTTCATTGGAGCTCAGGTACTATTTTTATTTTTAATTACAAAAAAGTAAGACCAGAGAACAGCGAGGGGACTAAAAAAAAGAAGAAAAAGAAAACAAGTGAAGGAGAAAAAATATTACAGATAATATATATTTATATATATTTTTATAGCTTTTGGTTATCTACTCTGCTCCCTACAGACAGCGCAGCTTACATCAGTCTCTTTCTTAAGTTTCTGTAAATATGATTGCTGTGAAGCATTTTGAAGGATGTCTCTTTGACTTTTTTAGTCAAGCAAAAACTTCTGAGGCAACAACCAAACTCTGTCCCAGCAAACATCTCCAAAACAAAACTGGACCAGTGTGATAGGGTAGAAAAGTGTGGGCTACTTGCCTTGAAAAAGTGGATGGGTTGTCTTTCTTTTTGATCTCAGTATGTCCTGAAATGGTTTCCCAGCTGTCTCTGTTGCAGAGGGTGAGGCTATTTTCTTTAAAACATTTGAAAAGTGAAACCTGAGGGGACAGTATCAAAGACAAGTGAGATCAGTGATCCTATGGAGCTGAATAAATTCAACATAATTGTAGAATTGACCTTCTCAGGGCTGCCTTGCTAATGAAATATTATTACTAATCCACTGTTTGAAGAGGATATTTTTTATACAGAATATATACATATATTGTGCCAGATAAAAAGTAAAGTTATGCTTGACCAGGCCAGTAGCATACAAAATGAGGAAAGTTTTAGGGTATTTTTTAAAAAAATAGTTTAGCAGGCAACCATAAACAGATCAGACCAGCAATAGAAGAAAAGACATGTTGGGGGAGGAGTTCCATAATTAGATAAGGTCTAATCCAATTTATTATAAAGTGGAGCTAAGGTAAATCCAATCAGGGATTTCTGACGTATCACGTCGTCCGTCATCTCTTGCGTTCGGGCACGTGATTGGTAGAAACCGCTCGGAGGAAACAGCTGATTAGTTTACAAGGCAACCTGTAGAAAAGCTCGCCGCTGGACAAACCTCGGACATCTAGTAAGCCGCTGTAAGTCGCTTGAACGCAGCCAGAGGTCGCTGTTTGTCTCCAATTTGGTAACAAACAAGAAAGTAAGCGGTCATTGCTCCGCTCGGGTCGTTAGTGAGTGTTTCCACCTTGTAACGTTAAGCTGTGAAGTAACTACGCTGATCCTGGTTATGGTGAGTTTGCAGTGAGGAACAGGCGATAGACTGTTTTATACTTGAAACCGACAGGTCGCTGGGCTGTGCTCTGTGCTACACTGAAGTGAGGCACTGAGTGTACAGCCATGTTTTCTACCTGTTTGTGTCTCTTATTCCCGGCCTTTGATAAATCCTTGTAACCATGGTAATGATGCTTCTGACACCTTCAGCGAATCTGCGCCCGGGAGAATTTATAGATTAGAGTCTAAGTATAGAGTTGTACATCATTTTCACAGACCACTTCACTGAATCTGAATGCTTACAGCTGGACTTAATTTGAACAAAACACATACACAACATATTCCTGTAGATTTCAGTACTGCTTTACTGTAGTCAGGGAAACCATAAACTTACCACCTGAACAATATTACTAGCATCCCTGCTGCTGCTGCTGCAGTCTCCAACCTTTTTTCTTGTAACCCTTTAAAGTAAAGCAGTGTCTTCTGGATTGTGTCCTTGAATTGCTATGAGTCATGTTTCTTTCCCAGATTGTTTAATTTAAATGATTTTTGTAGGCCTAAAGTCTTTAAACAATTAGTTTGTTTCACAATAAAAAACAATCATTTGTGTAATTACAGTTTGCTTTGTTTCTAATTGCCTTAGATTCATCTTTATTGCTTTTTTCAGTTTACAGATATACATTAAAGACAATGAACAAAATACTTCACACATATAGGATATAAGGTAACAAAAAAAACCCTAAAAACAAATAAGAATTAAATAAATAAATTTCCCTGTTTCCTTTTTTAAAGATGAACTTCAGCACAAATGCCCACTACGGCAGTCACACTAGCAAAGAAAATGTTCCACCGTCAAGCAAAATGGATGCATCACAGGTCCAGAGAGCTAGGCAGCGGACAGTGCTCGGTGTTTTGTCAGAAAATGAGCAGCGTGGTCGATCCCTCAGCAAGGTAAGGGAGAATGACACATAGGAGGGCATAAAATGTAGTATTTTTCAATTCACTTTCCCCTCACAGAACTGTCACATTTTGATTTCATGTGGCAGTCATGCTTCCTCATTTTTCACCACAGGGAAGCCAATTTTCCAAACACAGCTCGGTCTCAGACAGCTCTCAGCACACCTTTCTCGGCTGTACCTCCAGTTCCAGCTATGATGTTTATGTTGAAGAGGCTTGTGAAGTTGTTCTTGCGGCTTCTGGTCAAGAAGTGGTGTCTGACAACTATTACCGAGATACTGAAACCGCTGCCCTGCAAAACGAAGGGCTGAGACTCCTGCTGGAGCTTAGTTCAAGTGAGTTTGCCCTATACAAAAACATCTATCAAGACCACCAAGTGAGACTTTCTTCTTGGTATGCCTTTTATTTTTATCACCCAGCTGCTGTTCACCCTTGCAGGTTCATGCCTGGATGCTTCTATGCAGTCTGAAAAAGATGAATCCCTGATGTCAGAGGAGGTGCTGTGTGTGTCTGAGTATGCAGAGGACATTTACCGACACTTGAGGGAGAGTGAAGTGCGAAATTATCTGAACTATGAGCACTGAATCATTTCTACCATGTTACTGTGTATGGTTATCATTAAATACACTGTGACTGTGGTTCACTGCAAATACCTCATGAGAACTGCTTTTCTTTCTAAATGCCAGTTGAAGTTGAAGCCTCTTCCAGACTACTTGGAGAAACATCCGGAGATCACCAGTGGCATGCGGCTCATCCTGGTGGACTGGCTGGTGGAAGTTGTCCAGGAGTACAAGCTTCGTTCTGAAACTCTGCATCTTGCTGTCAACTATTTGGACCGCTTTCTGTCCTGCACGGCATATGTAAAACGGGGCAAGCTGCAGCTGGTTGGCACAGCTGCATTACTGATCGCTTCGTAAGCACATGTTTAAGTTTCTTATGTTTCTAACTGATACTTTTCCTGTCCAGTCCGGGCACTGATTTGTGAAAAACATTTCGTACTCTTGGTAAAACTCTTCCTTATGGAAAAGTGTCAACTCGATGACTGATGGTAACTTACAGTCTGATGTCTTCTGATCTTTCACCCTGTAGAAAATATGAGGAGATCTTCCCTCCCGAGCTGAATGACTTTGTGTACATCACAGACAGCACCTACACCAAGAAGCAGTTGGTTCGAATGGAGCATGTTTTCCTAAGAGTGCTGGCCTTCAAGATGGCCGCACCAACTACAAACCAGTTCCTTCGCCTTTTCATGTCCATCCACTCTGTCTGTGCCACCACAGAGAACCTGGCCCTGGTCAGTGAAATCAATCACTCTAATGTCAGCCACACTTTTTGGGTTTATGCCCACTGCCTTTGAAGATAGTTTTCCATTTCCCTTGATCATATTTTGGTTCGTTTTTTTTTTTTTTTGCTGCCTCTAGTATGTAGCAGAGTTAAGCCTGCTGGAAATTGAACCATTCCTACAGTACAGCCCGTCTATAGTGGCAGCTGGAGCCTACTGCCTGGCCACCTACACTGTAAACAAATCTCACTGGGTAAGTTCGTTCAGATCATTGTTTTGAGTGCTAAAAGTCCCTTTTATGAGAATCTCTTAAGGACTTTTTTTTTAAGTCTGTCTTTTCATATCTTAGCCTGAATCCTTATGTGCGTTTACTGGCTATACCATGGCTGAAATTCAGCCCTGCGTGACTGACCTCCACAAGCTACACATCAGTGCAGAGATTCACCCTCAACAGGCCGTCAGAGAAAAGTTTAAGAATTCAAAGTAAGGCGTGGCTTGTAGGTTTTGTCTGGGTTGTTATTGCATCCCAGGGCACAATTTTACCTTTATGAATGGATGTCTTTTTTTCTCTCCCTTTACAGGTATTGTCGTGTTTCGTGGATCACTCCACCTGCCGTTCTGCCTTTCCTATGAATCACTGCTCCACCCTTCTTCTGACGCTTCTGACAGGAAGTGGACATAATTAGACTGAGAACAAAACAAACGCAAATGATTCTTCTGTCAGTCCCATACATGCCACACCCCTCTCGACACTTTCTTGCTTTAATTTATTAATTTTTTTGTAGTTTATGCAAATACAAAAAATGTATATAAAGAAACTACTTCTGATACTTGTAGATATCCATGCAAAAGGTTTTTAAAACTGGTAAGTCATTAGTTGTAACACATGCTTATATTTTGAATGATACAAAATTCATGTTCAATCATGAATTATTGTAAGCTTTATTTTCCATATGTCATGTCTCAGTGTAATGTCTTTCAAAATTAAAGTTTTTATTGAAATTATTATTATTTTAACGTGCAGCTATCCGTTTTATTTTGAAAGTTTTGGCCGGAAGCCGTTTTTGTCTTCTGGTTGCTTTTGACGTTTGAGTTTTGCTGTGGGGGTGCGTCAAGTTAAATCAGTGAGAGAAGTGAACGCATAATGATGTGAGTAGGAGCATTTTCAAGTGAAGTTACAGAAGAACTGACGAAAACTGAAATTAAGGACTCTGAACACATTTATTTATTGTTTGTTTGTTTTTTTCTTTCCCGGTATATTAAAGTTTGGCTGAAAGGTAAGTCTGACCTAAGTTATAACTATCATTTCTGCCCAGTGGTCAGGTATGACGTATGCATAGGTAACAGTTGTTTTTGTTGTTGTTGTTGTTTGATACATTCAATACTAACATGAAGACTACATGTATAAACGCTGGCATTTTTTTCAAATGGAAATCCCATGTCTAGTGAAAGCTCTCATGCAAGTTCACGGTCTTGTTGATCAGGTAAAACCTGATGTGTGTGTCAGCTAGCTCCGGGCATTTATAGCCATTGCTACGCCAGCAACATTTACATTGCATAGATTTTTCTCACATTAACTCATCTCCCTGCCCGTGATGCGGTCAGTGTTGAAAATCCATTCAAGTTGTTCTCTAACATGCAGCCTAAAGCAACAACTTGTCTTGTTCACACCTGATTTCGGTGGGTTTCTTGGTGACAGGTACTAGTCACCTTCATCCTGTACTAATACTTTTATGTTTTTAATCTTATAATCCCAACTGTTTCCCATCCAAGGTGTTAATTTTAAAAACAGAAACTACAGTCCCCCAATAACTCAATAATTAACATTTGTGTGTTGTAGAAAATAAAAACAACAAATAAATGACTAATGTTAGTTATCTTCATGTGTTTGGTTATTACTATAAAAATCTTTGGATGTAACTGTCTCCATTTATTCTCTGACTCCATTCTTCTCTTTCTAGTCACTGTATCCCATCTTTTTCTCAGTATGGCAGAGCCTGCTGAGCTGCTGCTCATCAAGGACCAGTATGAGTTGGCGTTTCACTCCCTGAGTCGTGGGCTAACAGCTGAAGAGGCCGGGAAAAGAGAAGAGGCCCTGGAGTATTACAGAAAGGGCCGACAGCACCTTACCCAAGGAGTGGAAGTTCCCACTGGGGGGGAGAGGCACCAGGGAGTGGCCTGGGACACGGCCAGGCAGCTTCAACAGAGAATGAGGGACACTCTGAGTACTGTAAACACCCACCTCTCTGACCTGGAGACCTCTCAGCTGACAACAGGAGGCCAGAGGGACCGACTGTTGATGGATCTTCCTCCTAATCTTTATCCAGACCTGGCACCTAACAGTCACCCTCCCCACAGCTCTCTCCACCATCTATACCCCACCATACCCCCTACCAACCAGAACACTACCCCAACCCCAAATACAGCCCCTGTCAGACCTGCTTCCCCTGCTCTACCACCCAGACGTATGCACCCTGCAGTGGCCCCAGAAACTATAGCCATGGCTCACCCAGGGGACCAGCCTCCAGCTTACACACCAATGCCGACAGACGGGCACCGCAGCCTGGCTTATGGTACTGCTGGAGGTGGCCTTGAGTCAGGAAAGCAGACTGGAGCAGCAGCAAGACGAGATGGAAACGAGCTGCTTTACATTCCCTCTGGGGTGCAGATGTTTTTCGTGGCACCAGATGGACAGGTCAGCTCCCTGTCTAATCCAGGGTACCTTCGCATCATCGCATTTGATAGTGAGAGCAAGGTTTCAACTGCAGGAAGACCCTCAGCATTTCTACATGTAAGTACAGTATGTTATAATAATGATTTGCCATAATTCGTATCTGCTACGTGAGCAAAGCCTTTTCCCTGGGCATGTATCCTGGAGGTGTGTAGATGTGAACACCACTTGAACCACTTGATCACTATTAGTCCAGTTTTATAACTATGAGTCATTATGTTGGTCTGTAGTAGTGAGTAGTAGTCACAAAGAAATTTTCTGCTTATAAATGATTTTTTTTTCTACTTCATAACCTAAGAGACTTTTTCATGATTTGCACTTATTTATACTGAATTTGTTGACTGAATAAGCACATTACGATTAGTGCTGCAACTACTATTTATGTACATCAGGGATTAATCTGATGATTAGTTTCTGAATTTATCAGTTTTGTTTATAAACCTCAGAAAACAGTGAAACACACCTCATACAGTTTCCTAGAGCTGAAGCTGATGTTCTCTGTCAACCAATGGTCCGAAACACAAAGATAGATATTACAGTCATATGAATACATCACGTTTGAGGAAAAATAATCAGTGAATTTTTGGCATTTTTGCTTGATCAGTTATCAATTTTTAATCAAAGTTGCAGATTGATTTGGGCTCCAGTTATAGTGTATTAATTGCTTTACACTTGATCTGTTGAAGATAAAATTGGTCGTCCAGATGTTAAAACATTATATTTTTTTTTCATAATTTATATTTTTTCAGTGTTTAGAATATATTTGAGTGATGTATAATGTAACATATTTGCGGATTAAATGAGCTGTCCCATTGCACAGCTGATGTATTTATGTTTGAGCGGCATTATTTTCCATTATGTTGTAACATAATCTCTGTAGGTTGTAGCCTGTTAGCAGAACATAGATATTGAAGTTTTGAAGTGTCTACAACTATTATGGCACAAGCCCCCCCCAAGTATGACTTTATCAGCTCTGATCTTAATCATATGGAGCCGTCTGCCAACCTGCTACTTCTCTGTGATGATTTTTGTATTGAGTCAATATAAAACTCGTAAACAACAATAATGTATTCTGGCACCTCCACAAAGAGCGTATTATGCCATGTTGTATACTGCAGTCTACCCCATGACTCTGTTTCCTATCACACCAGGCCGATGGGCCGCTCTCCTGTATTCTGGCCCTGCTTTGTTTCCCAGCAAGACAATGGTCCCATTAACAGATGACTCTGCGCTTCTGTTGTGCTGCCGGTCAGTGCACTGCGCCCTCACAGGGGTCACACTGTCGGGCAGCATACCAGTGGCACGATGCAGCAGCAAGTCTGTATTGATATTATCTTTGTATGGATGACTGACATAAGTCCTGATGGGGCTAAAGCCCTGTAATGTATCTTTGAGTCTAGGGGACACTTTGCCTGCTGGGAGATGACAATCTTACTAGAAAAACAACAAGTTAACTTAACCCTAAACTGCCCATTCAAATAAGTAGTTAAGTGGGAAAATACGGCTGGACAAGGTATGATTTTCAATTCTCAGCTTATGAATTTCCCCATGGAGAATAATAAGGATAAATAACAAATAAGGACTCAACAGAAGCCATCATATCCTGCTTTCCTGTCTAAATTCAGAAATCTGAGAATAGTGGATGTGAGGTGAATCTCACTAGTTTTCATTAAAATCAGCTACAACCGATGATCAGTGGAATGAATACAACCTCTTTGGTTATGATGGTACATGGGTGATGACTCCTGACCTAGAGGCCTTCATCTTTCCCAACCTCTTACTCTTGTTCTTGTGTTTCCAAGGTGTGTGACTGGCTGTACCCACTGTCAGCAGACACTCCAGTGCTGTTGGCTAACTCCGGGATCTTCATGTTCCCTGACTCTTTGGCGGAGACTCCAGGGTCCTATGTGGGCATAGTGTTGTCATCTGAACTGCCTGCTGCCGACCGAGAGATGTTTCAGGACCTCCTGTCGCAGCTGGCTGAACTCAGGGTCCAGGTCAGTCTTTACTGTCAGGATTGAGCAGATCTAAGGATGCGTATTCTTGTGGGTGGAGCAAATACTTTAGAACTGGTATGTTAAGGGTGTTTTCTATGTTTAAAGAATGTGTCATAGTGTAAAAATGTGGTCCTTCTTTTTTTAAAGATCTTGACCGTTATAAATACCCATCCATTTACGTTGTCACACGGTAACAAAAATAAACAATGTCCTGTAAAACTGAAACCTCAATTTTTGATGTGATCAGGCTGTTACACCACATGCACTACTGTTTTTAGATATACAGTGTGTGCCACTTTTTTCTCTCAGGTCTTCTGGAGATACAAAACAGTTTTCATGTTGTGGGTAAAAACAAACATGTCCTGTGACAGGAATGTACTGTATGTTATCCGTTTGAGTATACGCATATATTAAAAGCAATATATGATGGGCCCTCTCATGACAACCATTTAGCATATGGCTTAATGTATTCCCTGACAGGGTCCAGAGGGGGCAGGATCAGAGGTCGTCAACCTGAGTATGAAAGTCCCCCTTGGTCCCCCAGAAGAGCAAAAAAAACTGTCAGTGCCAACTGGGGAGAAGGACAAACTACCACTTCCTGGATGGAGTGAGAAGATGGCACAAGGAATCTTGTCAGGTGTGTTTGAGTCCTGACAGAGGAAAAAAAATCTAAGCAAAATATCTCTACTCAAGTTGTACACAGACTATATACACAGTAGTTGTTTCTGTGTCTACAAAAATGACCACTAGATGGTGTTGTTTACTAATGCAACATGCTTTCCTGAAGGCAAAGGGTGTTTAACCCCCTCTTGATTTGACTGCAATTGACATTTTGACAAAACAACAATTAATGATATTCCCAATGTACATTTGTCAACCAAAATGTTTAGGAGCTACAAAGTTGAGTGAGGGGTTTGCAAAAGGAGCGGAGGCCACAGGTAGAGCCATTCAAAAAGGAGCAGCCAAGATCCGGGACCACATCACACCTGAGGAAACTCCTTCAGAGGTCAGCCCCCGTGTCACCAAAAGTCTGCAGGTGGCTAAACAGGCCACCGGAGGTGCTGTGAGAGTCAGCCAGTTTTTGGGTAAGGACTTAAACCAAGGACTAGAAATCATCCCACAGAGAATATAACCATCCATACAATAAGTACAAGGTCCAGAATTTTGTTTCAGGGAACTTGACCAAAATAATGGTAAAGATATAAACTGCTTTTTTGCATGACTGGAGAAAACCCTCATAAATGCTTGATTTTCTTTTCTTTTTTTTTTTTTTCTTTTTCTTTCAGTCCATGCCATTAGTTTCTTGTGCTGCACATTAATATGCTGTGTACTTATGTGTGCCTCTCCTTGTGTAACTGTGTACATCTACAGTTAATGGAGTGAGCACTGTGGCAGGACATGTGGCAGAGAAGATGGCGCCCCATGTGAAGAAACAAGGCGCCAAGCTGGTCCCAGAGTCTATGAGGAAGAGCAAAGAGGGCCAGGCCTCCAATTTTGATGGAGCCAAATTTGTTGCAGCCAGCAGTATACAAGGTATATACATCAGAAAAGAACATTTCAGGATTAAGCATGAAGTAGTAGTAATATTGTACAACGTCTTATACTGTGCTCATATCATTAGCTCACATGCTTTGGCATTTTAAATTTTTGATTAAAGGCAGCTAATCAAAGTCTTTTTAGAGAACTCAATATTTTTTCGCTTATATCCAAACCAGGTTTCTCTACTATTTGGTCCAGTCTGGAGACCGGAGCAAAGCTTGTTGGCAAAAGTGTTGCAGCAGAGACTGTCACAACTGTGAAGTACAAGTAAGCATGAAGTTATTTCATCACATATATACTTGAACATGAGGTTTTCCAATTTCCATTGACATCTTCAACTTCTGCTTCTTTATTGATAGAAATAATATCATTAATCATTAATTAATTATTATAGATCTTGTCTTCAGCCTGTTTCTGAATCTATTTGGTCACTCTGAGCAACAGCAGAACACTGGAGCAGAAACCAATCTTACAGTGGCTTACTGTGTTGCTTCTTCTTGGTACGTTGGGTAACTGACCTGCTTTCACACCTATTTCTTTTCAGATTCAAGGGCTTAGGGAATCTAATAAACATGTCCAGCAACATATGACTGCACGGGGGAGTAAAGGCAAAGACTTGTGAACTAACTGCTGACCCTGCTCAACCTTTTCGTGCACACTCTTTTCACTAGCTCAGATCAAGTCAGAAAGTAACCCGAAGTAAAATGTAATCAAAATCTACAAAATCTAACAACTAACACAGAAACTGGCTTTTGTTGATTCGTCTATATCTGGACAAAGTATGTATTTTGGGTTCTTTTTTGACTTGGTGTAGTGTCTTTCTAGTTAAATGTCTGCTTGTGTTGGGTGGTAATGCTCTTGCTGTTCATGCTATCTGTAGCCTTTTCTCCTTTTGTTACTAATAAAACTGCTACACAGTATGATATGACTATGTTTTTCTTGAACTACGATTTGTTGGCGTGAATGACAACAGAACAAACATAACATACTCGCTCCAGCATTTCAAGTCCGTACACATCCTCATTTATTTTCTTACACCAAACCACTCTTTTCCTAACTCCACCATTATTTGTGGTGAAGGTACGGTGATGACGCAAGCCAAGCCACAGACACAGCTCTCCGGTCAGTGGCCAATGTTGGTGTGACTGCACACAACATTGACAATCTGGGCATCAAAGCCTTCCTGAAGACAACAGGCAAGGCGACAGCGAAGGCCATGGTCAAAGGCTCGGGTGGACAGTCAGCAGAAACTGAGGGGAAAGAGGCGCAGAGACAAGAACATCAAGCAGAGACTGAGGGAGAAGGAAAAGCAGAAGAGGAGAAAGAGTTGAAAAAATAGATTCCCACAGGACTTTAATGCTTTACTGGAAGGTTTCAGATGGGTGGGTCACTACCTCATTTGCAGTTTTATAAAAGTAAATACAGGCCACTCATGTTTTTGGAATAGACACTGCCTTGTATTAATTATGGCTGTAAACTTTAAGACAAAACCAATGATGTTTTTGTGGTAGTATAATAGGCTTGTTGTATATTTATATATAGTTGGCTATGTATTTTCTCTATGTTGTATGTGACAAAATATTCACTATGTATACCAGTTAACATGTTGCTTTACCAGTAGAGTTATAGCTATAGCCTGATATGACCTCATCTATATTCAAATTTGTATGAAAGTTGCCTTAATGATTTTAAGAAATACACACAAACTTTGTATATAAAAATATAAATTAATATAAATTTCATATTTAACATATTTTTGTATATGAGATGTCCAAGGTGTTGTAAGAGAGGAAAAAATGTATGGAAAATGTTGCTGTCTCTCTCTCTCTCTCTCTCTCGCTTGCGCGCGGGCATACTCACACTCACACGCACACACACACACGTCTGCTGAACTCTGCTTGTTTTGGTATTGTAATTAGATCCTCTGCAAGATAAATCAAGTGGCCTTTATAGACCATTAATGTAGGATGTTGGATTAAGAGCTCGGTATACTGTATGGAGGAAGTTAATTTTCAGACCCAATTAAGCGCGAAATGAACTGTATATACTGAATATAAAGAAAAGTAATGCACCGATTCATTAATGTGCTGTCATTTTTAAACCTCCCGCTCAACGTGCTCTATTATTTCCGACGCCACATGAACTAGCCGGAAACAGCGATCTCCATGGAAACTGCGAGGCACAAACTTTTCTTCAGTCGATGTAAGTTTTTCAGAAACATGGCTGGAGAGAGCGACTACAGCAAATACGATCTGGCACGCCTACAGGCAGAGCTCAAGCAAGAGAGGGAAATTAAGTAAGTTTTTTTTTTCAGAAACCTTACGATGTTTTCAAGGCAGGGAAGTAGGTTTGGTCTCAACATTGGTAGGGACGCAATAACCCCACCACTCCAAAACAAAGTGATTCGCTTTTTAATGCAGTCAACCAAACGCTTTATTAAAATATTAGATTTGAATTTGCATTCAGAATTGCCCATACCGAAATGCAATAGCTGTATGTACATGTGTTGAATTTCCATATATGAAATATATGTACATATGAAGTAAAATCATATATGTTTATACAGTATAGCCTATATGTGAAAATTACATATGAAACCTGTTAGAAATTGGGACAATATCATATATTGACATATACTGTATGTCTAGCTACATGTATTGTAGTATGTTTATATTATAAATTTGTGCTATAGATATATGTTACATAAATATATATCCATCCTAAAGCCTGTAAGTATGTGTTCATTATATATGAACATAGAAAAGAGAGACATGTAGGGTAAATGTAATTAGAAATGATTAAGAAAATCATATACAAATATATAGAATAATAATAAGCATGTTGTTTTAATGGAGTTGCATTTTTTTCATGTGTTATGAACATATATATTCATATATCCAGAGGATGTATATGTATCATAATAATATATCCTCTTATAGATTACATATATGGTAATATCAAATATTTCATATATATGTCATAAGTCTCATTATGATACGGCAAAAAAACTTATAGTAAAGTAAAGCATAAAAATATCATGCCATAGTGAAGCATGAAAATGTCATAGTAAAGTAATGCATAAAAAGTCATAGTATAGTAACGCATAAATATTCATGAAAATGTCATAGCATAGCAAGGCATTAAAGGTCATAAAAAGAGACATAGTATAGTATGGCATGAAAAGTCAAAAAAATAACATGGTATAGTAAAGCATAAATATTCATAAAAACGACATAGTATAGTAAGGCAATAAAAGTCATAAAAACAACATATTGTAGTAAAGCATGAAAAGTCAAAAAAACGACATAGTATAGTAAGGCATAAAAAGACATGAAAATGACATAGTATAGCAAGGCATGACAACATGATAGCATAGCAAGGTATTAAAGGTCATAAAAACGACATAGTATAGTATAGCATAAAAAGACATGGAAATGACATAGTATAGTAAGGCATAAAAATGTCATAGTATAGTATGGCATGAAAAGTCAAAAAACAACATAGTATAGTAATGCATAAATATTCATAAAAATGACATAGTGTAGTAAGGCAATAAAAGTCATGAAAACGACATAGTATAGCATGGCATGAAAAGTCAAAAAAACGACATAGTATAGTAAGGCAATAAAAGTTATAAAAATGACATAGTATAGTAGGGCATGAAAAGTAAAAAAAACGACATAGTATAGCAAGGCAAATAAAGTTATAAAAACTACATAGTATAGTAAGGCATAAATATTAATAAAAATTACATAGTATAGTATGGCATGAAAATTCAAAAAAACATCATAATATATTAAGTCATAAAAGGTCATAAAAAAGTCATGGCAAAAGTATGGCAAGGCATGAAACTACATAATATAGTAAGGCATAAAAATGCCAAAAAACATAATTTTATAGGATGGCATAAAATGTCAAAAAAACATCATAGTATATTTAGTCATAAAAGGTCATAAAAACGTCATGGGATGGCAAGGCATAAGACGACAAAATATAGTAAGGCATAAAAATGTCATAGGAAGGCAAGGCATAAGACGACAAAATATAGTAAGGCATAAAAATGCCAAAAAACATATTTCTATAAGATGGCATAAAAATTTCAAAAAAGGTCATAAAATGGCATAAAATGGCAAAAAAATCATCATAGTATATTAAGTCATAAAAGGTCATAATAATGTCATAGTATAGCAAGGCGTAAGACTACATAATATAGTGAGGCATAAAAATGCCAAAAAAGGACAGAGTATAGTATGACATAAAAATGCCCAAAAACGCCATAAATGGCAAAAAATTCAAAAAAACATCATAATACATTAAGGCATAAAAGGTCATAAAAACATCATAGTATGGCAAGGCATGAAACTACATAGTATAGTAAGGCGAAAAATGCCAAAAAACTTCATTTCATAGGATGACATAAAAATGTCAAATAAGGTCATAGTATAGTATGGCATGAAATGGCAAAAAATCATCATAGTATATTAAGTCATAAACGGTCATAATAACGTCATAGTATGGCGAGGCATAAGACGACATAATATAATAAGGCATAAAAATGCCGAAAAACATCATAGTATAGTATTTTAATAACATCATATTATGGCGAAGCATAAGATGACATAATTTAATAAGGCATTAAAATGCCGAAAAACATCATAGTATAGTATGGCATAAAATGACCAAAAAAACATCATAGTATGTTTAGGCATAAAAGGTCATAATAACATCATATTATGGCGAGGCATAAGACGACATAATATAATAAGGCATAAAAATGCCGAAAAACATCATAGTATGTTTAGGCATAAAAGGTCATAATAACATCATATTATGGCGAGGCATAAGACGACATAATATAATAAGGCATAAAAATGCCGAAAAACATCATAGTATGTTTAGGCATAAAAGGTCATAATAACATCATATTATGGCGAGGCATAAGACGACATAATATAATAAGGCATAAAAATGCCGAAAAACATCATAGTATGTTTAGGCATAAAAGGTCATAATAACATCATATTATGGCGAGGCATAAGACGACATAATATAATAAGGCATAAAAATGCCGAAAAACATCATAGTATGTTTAGGCATAAAAGGTCATAATAACATCATATTATGGCGAGGCATAAGACGACATAATATAATAAGGCATAAAAATGCCGAAAAACATCATAGTATGTTTAGGCATAAAAGGTCATAATAACATCATATTATGGCGAGGCATAAGACGACATAATATAATAAGGCATAAAAATGCCGAAAAACATCATAGTATGTTTAGGCATAAAAGGTCATAATAACATCATATTATGGCGAGGCATAAGACGACATAATATAATAAGGCATAAAAATGCCGAAAAACATCATAGTATGTTTAGGCATAAAAGGTCATAATAACATCATATTATGGCGAGGCATAAGACGACATAATATAATAAGGCATAAAAATGCCGAAAAACATCATAGTATGTTTAGGCATAAAAGGTCATAATAACATCATATTATGGCGAGGCATAAGACGACATAATATAATAAGGCATAAAAATGCCGAAAAACATCATAGTATGTTTAGGCATAAAAGGTCATAATAACATCATATTATGGCGAGGCATAAGACGACATAATATAATAAGGCATAAAAATGCCGAAAAACATCATAGTATGTTTAGGCATAAAAGGTCATAATAACATCATATTATGGCGAGGCATAAGACGACATAATATAATAAGGCATAAAAATGCCGAAAAACATCATAGTATGTTTAGGCATAAAAGGTCATAATAACATCATATTATGGCGAGGCATAAGACGACATAATATAATAAGGCATAAAAATGCCGAAAAACATCATAGTATGTTTAGGCATAAAAGGTCATAATAACATCATATTATGGCGAGGCATAAGACGACATAATATAATAAGGCATAAAAATGCCGAAAAACATCATAGTATGTTTAGGCATAAAAGGTCATAATAACATCATATTATGGCGAGGCATAAGACGACATAATATAATAAGGCATAAAAATGCCGAAAAACATCATAGTATGTTTAGGCATAAAAGGTCATAATAACATCATATTATGGCGAGGCATAAGACGACATAATATAATAAGGCATAAAAATGCCGAAAAACATCATAGTATGTTTAGGCATAAAAGGTCATAATAACATCATATTATGGCGAGGCATAAGACGACATAATATAATAAGGCATAAAAATGCCGAAAAACATCATAGTATGTTTAGGCATAAAAGGTCATAATAACATCATATTATGGCGAGGCATAAGACGACATAATATAATAAGGCATAAAAATGCCGAAAAACATCATAGTATGTTTAGGCATAAAAGGTCATAATAACATCATATTATGGCGAGGCATAAGACGACATAATATAATAAGGCATAAAAATGCCGAAAAACATCATAGTATGTTTAGGCATAAAAGGTCATAATAACATCATATTATGGCGAGGCATAAGACGACATAATATAATAAGGCATAAAAATGCCGAAAAACATCATAGTATGTTTAGGCATAAAAGGTCATAATAACATCATATTATGGCGAGGCATAAGACGACATAATATAATAAGGCATAAAAATGCCAAAAAACATAATTTTATAAGATGGCATAAAAATGTCACAAAAGGTCATAGTATAGTATGGCATAAAATGTCCAAAAAAACATCATAATATATTAAGGCATAAAAGGTCATAAAAACGTCATAGTATGGCAAGGCATGGAACTACATAGTATAGTAAGGCAAAAAAATGGCAAAAAACATCATTTTATAGGATGGCATAAAAATGTCAAAAAAGGTCATAGTATAGTATGGCAAAAAATGGCAAAAAAAACATCATAATATATTAAGGCATAAAAGGTCATAAAAACATCATAGGATGGCATGGGATAAGACGACAAAATATAGTAAGGCATAAAAATCCCAAAAAACACCATTTTATAGGATGGCATAAAATTTCCAAAAAACATCATAGTATGTTTAGGCATAAAAGGTCATAAAAATGTCATAGGATGGCATATAGGATGGCATAAAATTTCCAAAAAACATCATAGTATGTTTAGGCATAAAAGGTCATAAAAATGTCATAGGATGGCATATAGGATGGCATAAAATTTCCAAAAAACATCATAGTATGTTTAGGCATAAAAGGTCATAAAAATGTCATAGGATGGCATATAGGATGGCATAAAATTTCCAAAAAACATCATAGTATGTTTAGGCATAAAAGGTCATAAAAATGTCATAGGATGGCATATA